GGTATGCGTTTGTGAATAGCATCGTTCGATCTGTCACAGGTGGCCATATCGATTTTCGATATCGTAGTCGATGGAGTATTGGGATCCATAATTCACGTTGATATGTAATTTTCCTTGAGTGATCCACTTTTCATATTCCTCTTCACGACATATTGAAACCAGTTCAGTTCCACGTGTTCCTTTTGTCAAAAAATAATCATGAATCATTTTCGTATACGAAGCGTTTCACTTTGTCTTGTATTTTCACTATTTCTGTACGAGAGACCTTTGGATTCTGAATTCTGAATTTGACTGTGACGCTATATTAATCAACTTTACTTCATGAATTATCAGACCATGTATCCGAATTGACGTATATAATATGTTTTATTTCTAACTACGTTTCATTTCAATTATTTTTCATGAAGTTGAATATCAAAATAATCACAGGAAACACAGGAAATCGTTATCAACAGGCAAAAAAATCATCCACGAGCTTTTAATTTCTGATGCAATCTGTTGAATTTTGGATATTGAAATGTGTTCAGGAAGTTTTCGCCTGATTATCATCAAATTTTGCCAAGATAAATGAGGAGATATTGGTTATATTCTTTTGTTGAATCGATCTTTCCTTATCTCTATTTAGTTATTCCGTTTCAACACTGCCTGGTAGGAGCTGAAGTTTTTTTCAATTGTCAGATTTGTCTTTGTTTAGTGATATTGGCAAGTGTCAAGTAAAACTCATTTGCTGATGATGAAGGATTAATCCTTCGAAACATGTCCTTTCTCATGTCCATGACCATTGGTCATTATTAAAAAATGTTATGTGGTGGAGTTGTGACTGTAAGTTCTTTCACCCCTCCTCAACAAAATATTCTCATCATATTCATAGATGGTTGGGAAATGAGTGACGAAGTAGGTGCAGTTATGGTGATAGGCCTAATGAAATGAAACTGAAGCGTGAACTCTAACTGCTCGATTTTCACCGCAGAAATAAATGCGATATGACAAGCCCTCTTATATTTGTCCTTCTCTCGAATTCAATTCTTGTGGACCTTCGAGACTTGAACAGTTGAATATTCTCCAGTTGACAGCCCACAAATTAGCTACACGTGCCTTCCGAACTAGTTCTACAGCCTCAGTACTACGCGGTACATAGTCACTAACCCTCAACTTGGGAAGAGATCTATGCTATTCCCTGTAGAAAGTACTCAATAAGCAATAATGAAATACCATTCAGCAAAAGTATGTCCCCCTACCTTCCTTGGCCACTCATTATCCCACAAAAGAACATTTAGGTCGCATTATGGACATATTCGCTGCAACTTTCAGACACTTGGTATTTTCTGAACTGGAATATTTCTGAGAAAGTCACATCATTTCCATAGATCGTTTAAAAACGAGTGACGGAGTAGGTACAGCCATGGAACTAGGCAAAGAGAAATATAGCAGGACCTTGAACTCTTACTGCTCGATATTCGCCGCAGGAATATATGCCATATAGCAAGCCCAATCAACATTCTAGGACAATTCTTCCAAGCAGAAATCGACTCATTTCTGATAATTTCTCTTTCAAATTCATGTACTGACTAACTGAAGAGTCATGGATGAGGTTGTGAAATGCATAATGAGGGCCATAACATCTTCTGCAAAGACCATGAATTTTATAGGCAAAGTACATAGTAAGAAAGTACTTATTGAACACTATTGAACAGTAAAAACGTAATCAGCAAAATAAGCAGTCGATTTTGCTTCATGATTTGCGATTGAGACAATTTTCGACCATTCAAATGGTCATCATCAGTCATAGTACAGATGGAGTTGATCTACAAAGGAAAATTGGTAACACTTCACATCTGTCAAAAAATGCTTTCAGTGCTGGTGTCTTCGAGAAGCCCAAGTCACTCATGCATCTTCTTTGTTCTTGTACAATGTATGCAGTCTCTGCCTATATCCATAGACACAATTCGGCATTGCGAGCGCTTCACTATCATTCAAGACACTCGTACGAGATGTAGAAGATCCTAGTGCTTCCTTAGGCTTCAGACGACAACGATTTTTTGCCTGAACATCTGAGGAATGTTGAGAACTAAGTCATTCCCAGGCAACCAGATGACGTTTCAGTGACGTATTTGTTACGTCACTTGAATGAACAAGGTGACGTCAGTAGTTGACGTCGCATTGACGTGATAATGACGTGAATGAGTCACAGCTCAATGACGTCATATTACTCACGTCGTATTGACGTCATTTACTCACCAAACTGTCTGACTGACGACATAATGACGTCAAAATGACGATTGAATTTGGCGATGATACGTGAAAAAGATCTCTTCAACATGGTGTGATAAATACCACTAGCCTCTGGTGACATTATATAATATTGATTATGCATTGTTGAGTTTGCTTGGTGGGTCCCTCCTGTGTCATGTTCAGTAAGCATCCTAATCAGAATGCAATCAGTTACTCGTATTTGTATCAAAAATTATGTAGTTTGTGTCGGCGAGATGCTTACATCCCGCAACAAAGAATAGTTTAAAAGCAATGGACAGGATGTTGACGAATTTGACTTCACTTTGTAGAATAATGTATATTGATGCATTCTTTGTCACCCCACAAGAATCTAAATAGCAAATTATTGAAAAATTCACTGAATGACGAAGCTCACCATATTGGTACGTCACACCGACGTGATTTTTAGACGTCATAGATACGTCACTGCAACGTCATGAGAGTAAGGGTTCCAATATAGGTATACCTGAACAATTATTTTCATATCTACATAGCTTGTTGTTTTCCGAGATATACAGTGTGTCAGAACTTTTTAGAAAAAAGTTTTTCTACTACTTTTCGGGTTTATTAATAATCTGAATAAAACTTGCATGTTGATTTGCTTTCATGAGTTATACTTCTGTTTCACATGATAATATACAAGTATCCATGGTTTAGAGAAGGTCTGGGAAAAATTAACGTCGACAGGACGTCCCTGCAACGTCATTAAACTGACGTCTTCTTTTACCTATCTATGTGACGTTCACTCGATGTCGAAACGATGACGTGATTATCACGTCATAGAAAGTACGTCATAGTGACGTCATAAATTGGTGTGTGACGTCTCTGACGAAAAATCACCAATTAGGGACGTCACAGTGACGTGATCATTCGTCATCTGGTTGCCTGGGTTATTCCGTTGAATCCCTTCTGAGTGATTATTCACTGAATCGTACTATCATTGAAATAAAATGCCTCACGTCTGGACAGAAAAGGAATCGGAACGATATTACAAGTTCCACGATTTTGCTCTATATCTGCTATAAATCATTGTCTGCATCAATAACAAATGTTTTCCCATTCATTTCAAGAAAGTCACATGTCATACCGATAGCTTCAATACCTGATCCGCTAGATTCAAATGCATCCTGCCCATAATATGTGTACTTGCGAAAGATATCCTGAAAATTCGGGATTCTCATACTGAATATCGTGTCAATACAAATAAACTCATTTCTGTATGCAACCTGGCTAAAGGGTTTATCAGAGCTGAAATCGACGAAATATGAAGATCTGGCTCTAGGTAATTATCAGTAAGTTGCCCTCGTGTTATTGGATAATATAATAATTATAATGATGAATGCTTTTATTGTCTCTGTAAAGGTATATTTGAAATTGAAAACTCCCTATTGATTCAATCATGTCACGGTTTATCTTAAAACGCTACTCTCCTCCTGAACCATAGCCTACAGAATCACTTCCGAGCCGTACTATCTCAAAATATAAAAAAGTCTTTGGAAGTGTACCTCTTTGTTCTATTCTCAGACCAATCCCTATTGCTCTGTATACATATGAGTTCAATGGAAAAATTACGTAGGTACTGACTACCTTTGTCTTCCTCACGGGTACGATACTCAGATTTACATAATCATTTTGAGGAAATGAGTGAAAATCAGCAATTGAATCAATTTATGCAAATCTGAAATTATCATTACCATTATCTAGCAAATAGTGCCTCTCAATCAACTTTGTCAAAAGGAATGTCATTCTTTTTGGCCGAACAAGTACACGAGATATGAAAATCAATGAAAAACAAATTTTTGAAAAGGAATATTCTCAAATAAATTATGAACATACAATGGATATATATTTATATAAAGCAATACATTGAGAATTCGCATTCCCTATGTGATGAGAATATCTACTCTTCTTCAGTTTATTCAATAGAGAACAACTACTTTCCTGGGTACATGCCACGACGAACATTGAATCATATCTATTGAACACACACGATAAAAGTTTGAAAATAATTTAAAACTTCTGAAATTGAGAATTCTCAATGTATTGCTTTATATAAATATATATCCATTTCAGTATGTTCATAATTTATCTGAGAATATTCCTTTTCAACACTTTCATACCCAATCAGGGGGTTCAAACTTGAACGATGGAAACTTGTGATTTTTATAGACCTCTAATCGCAGATTCGTGATAGAGTCTCAATTCAGAATTTCTTTCCACGCCCTGTATGATGAATGTCAATTCATCATACACCCAAAAGGAAAAACAAATTGTAGAAAAATGAGACAGTTCTTTCTATCGCCGACATTTCAAATAGGCTCTCGATTGACTCTGTCTCGAGATATACTACAATGTGAATATTATAATTTCAGGAGCGGATTCTGAATTAACTGATTTTCTCAAACATGTCCTTCCTCAAACAAACGGTGAAAAAATTTTATTCGAGGCTTTGATACTCCCGCATCTAAACTCTGCAGATAGTGTTTATAGCTTTGATTTATTCTATTTCAAAAAGTCCGCATATTGATATACAAAAATTTAATATCGCACGGACGTGCATCACCTCGATGCTCGAATTCAAAACATATATCCGCAACATCTCAGTTCTCCTTACCATATATATGATTGCTTTGAAACCAAATATCCCAACAAAGGTATAAATTATCCACCTACTCGTTGATGATTCAAGAGCAATAAACGTATCAACTGAAATGATTGAAAAATTTCAGGTTCCTGGAACTAATAAGAAATTACCAGTATACTTATTTATCCATGGTGGTGCATTCATCACGGGAAGTGGAAGTAGTTCAGGTCCGAAGTATTTGATTGATGGAGAAATAGTCGTTGTAACGATCAATTACCGACTAGGCCCTTTAGGTAAGACTTGGATTATATATTCTTATCTAAAATAATTGATGATTGCGTTAATATTTATCGATTATTCATACAAGGTCCTTACTTCAATTTTGATCAATATCTGATATAATAATCATGAGATTTCATCACTTGAACTATCTAGATACATACATATTATAGAAACACAAAGCACGGAGGAATTTTTCTTGGGTTGAACCATAATTTCAATACAGTGGTCAAAATTGCGAATTCATTATTTGTGAGTTATTCACCATATCACTTTCATCTCATTCCAATGAATTAGGTTTCAGAAAAAAATTCCGAAGAACAACTGACAAAGAATATTTGCTGAGAAAATGTTCTAACGAGAACATGAATCATCAGAATCCATTTGATCCTCAACAAATCTATGTTGAAATAATGACACACAAAATAGCGATGGATAATGACGGCAGCAGCCGTTGAACGTGTCAATTTGATTGCTCTGTTGAAATTATTGCATTCTCAGGATATGATAGTATTAGCACTCTAGAAGAAATTATGGTGTTTATTTCAATACCAGTTCATCAAAATCAACTTTGATTTAATTTTACATTATTTCATATTACCTCTATCGTGAGACTGATACATTTGTATATTCTTCATGAGACTATCAATTTCATGAAATTATTATATCGACAAAAATATTCCTCTCCCGAATACTATCTCCACACTGGAAGAGTTGTGAATCAACACCACTTATATGAAATGAACATTAAAATTTTTATTTTGAGAAAATGTGTTGCCATTTTTACTATCTCAGTACAAAAACCGATCATTTGCACTTCATTCATCATAATCCAAGACGGCACAATCATATTCCATGAATATCCTATGCATATTGCGTTGGAATATTGCCATATGCCATGGATATTCCATGTCGTCCAAAACATATGATATGCATATTCCAGGGATATCCAAAGTCACCATGAAACATATGCCAGCAATATCTGTGAATCTTCCAAAAGAGATTGGTGGCATATACTAGGAATATGTTTTTTGTATATGCATAGAATATGCTTTTCAATCATTACTAGAATAAAATACCTATATGAAATGTAATTTATTATGTAAAAGATAGAAATCAACATACAGGATGTAGAATTGTAAACAATACTTGAAGCTTGCACTTTATATTTCATATCATATGATTTTCTTCTTCTCTTGAACGGTAGCAGTGATGAATTCAACAGGATCTGCAATGATTATAACATAGCAAATACTTGAATATAAAGATTGATTGAATTCACTCACCTTTGCTTTGGACGTGATACAAAAGTTGAAAGAACTAGATACTGAATTTGTCAACATCTGAGTTAATCAGCTGATTTCAATCTATTGTTTTTTTCTTTGTCACGTCTGTATCTTCAACAATACGAGTATTTCTTGGATTTTCCATTTGACATATGGGTAAGTACTGAAAAAAATCAGGTGCATCTACAGGGTGTATCTAAATAACAGAAAAAAAATTTCAAGTGGTGATTTCGTGATGAAAATTGAGGTGGGCGTTTGGTATCCATTTCTTTGAAAAATCTCTTCACGGAATAGTAACACCCTTCTCAAAATTAAAAAAATGGTTTTTCTTTTTCATTACCTCTGTATTTGAATGAATGCACAGAACTTGTTAATATTATTCATCAATAAAACTACCCATTCTGGAATGTTATGTATGCTAGAAGGGCTTGAAATATTCAACGCCTAAGATATTTTTTTTACAACTTTTTTTTATAAACACTTTTTTTTTCAAAAATACATGGCGAATGCTTCTCCAGAGATCAAAAATAAGTTAGTTAATGGATTGGGCTTTTCAGATGTTTTTTTAAAAGTTGTAAAATAATTATATTTCAACCCCTTTTAAGCATACTTCAGGGTGTACAACATTTCAAAATGCGTAGTTTCATTGACACGTGATGTTTACCAAGTTCCGTGTCATTAACTAAATATACAGGAAAGTTAAAAAATTAAAATGCTATTTTTTTTTCATCTTCGGATGTGTGTAACTTATCCGGGGTTGAGAGGGTTATCAAAAAATTCTTTACCAAATACCTTCATTCTCATCACAGAATCACCCCTTTCATTTTTTCGATGTTATATAGATACACTATGTATATGAATTCATTAATGTATAATCTTAGGTATACCTCATATTGGTATTGAATGAGTGCCATTGAGTCTCTTTATTGTGATCCTATTCAGTTTAATGGCGGCCAAAAGAGAAGTGCATCTTGAGTTAATGTTCCATTTTCGAATTGAAACCAACTTCAAACGTCTGAAATTTTATATTGATGTTAACACTATTCACAGTAATCGAAACACAATCGAGATCTTCTGCTCAAACTAATAATTCCATGCTCTTCTCGTCTGTTTATAATGAAAACAATCGCGGCATATTCGCGTCCATGTTGATATCACGTCCTTCACTAGGTGACTGTGGAATGCAATGTAGAACAAAGGGCGATGACCGACAGAGACTCGTGTCGTGCCCATTCGGCATATGTCGAAATTCCGACAATCTGCTTTTGAAATATTCCTGGTATTTTCGAAAAGCATATCTAATGAATATTCGATGAACATATTCAGGCAATATTCTTTGAGGATATTAGATCAAGCACATATTCATGGAATATTTCAGGAATAATGCAATATTCATTGGAAAATTGGATGTAGTAGGCATATTCCAGGAATATGAGGTGCCGTCTGGGATATATCATATATGATTATTATGGATTGATGAAGTCAATGTTCATAGAGAATAATCTCCTGACATTTTTCATATTCATGACTTACTCAGAACTACACTCCTTCCTCCAAGGAATGGTTTTCATTACACAAGCAAAGTGTTAATATCTTGGGAGGAGACATGTTCAGAAAACATAAGAACTGAAATTGAACTACATAAATAATATGAATTCATACTGTTCCCATATTTAGAGTGCAGCACCCAAACATACCCTGGAACTGTTGAATTCTGTCCAAAAAGGTCAATTCGTCTCGTGGATGATGCCTCGTTCACGAACCCACTCACTCCTCTGGAACACTGTTGAAATGTTGTCGATCTGGCTCTATGTTATGGGTATTTTTATAGACGATGCTCTTCTGAAATATCAACAATTATTCCTCCCTTGGTATTCCCCGCTAGATTAATCCGTCGAGTTGAAGCTTCGCACCCCTTTGTGGTCACTTTAGAGACCTACAGAACATCTCTCTCCAAAGACTCTCTCATCCAACAAACAGCGACGCTCTGGAACACATTGCCAAGGGACGTGTTCCTCGAGGCATATAACCTCCAGAAATTCAAGAAGAACACCAATTCCTACCTTATTCCCCTTGGTTTACGATGTTCTTTGAACATCACAGGACATCCGTTTTCGTGAGAACCAGAACATTTTAAAGACATCGCGACGCTCAAGAGCCTGTATTATGCATTTGTTCGATCGAAGCTGGAATATGCTTCGGAAATTTGGAGTCGAGAAGGGCTTCTATTATGAATTCAATGGTCAATTAATGTTTATTCATCATTATAATGAACAATGAGTACGTTCTCACAGTGGCATAGATGTTTTGTGAATATCGAGTTTCGACCATCTACCCTATTCCCTATTCTCACTTTCTAGATACTTTCTTGGAATATAGTATCATCAGATCATTAGGTTATTCGTAACACAAAGCATCTCATATTGGTTACCAGAATCATGCACGCATGTGCTAGCCTGAAGAAACTATACAAATAAACTTCGCAAAGGATCTGGACACTTTGTTGAATGAACAAGTCGCTGCTTGGACAAGCCACCGGATGGACAGGTCGCCGAATGGAAAAGTCGTCGAATTCTTGGTGAAAATGCCGAAACCGATCAGTAGACACATTGCCAAAAGTAGTCATCATGCCTGAAACGGAAGAAGCGACAGTGAAGAAGTTGACGGTAGAGGCCACGATTTGAAAGTATGAAACACTTTTGCCTTCGAAGTCGTTTTTCACAAAATAAAATATCAGTTTCAGTACTCTCATCGCGAATAACTATATAAGCCACCCATAATGAACATACATTATGTGACATTGCCATAAAACTTACATAGCCAATATTTCAGAAATGATTTATCGTGATCTTTTCGAATTTGACAGCGACGTTTTATGATGAAACTATTAAAGATGGCATATTATGAAGGAAACAACCAGAACCAGACTTTGGGAAGATTCATGTTTTATCATTATGTCTAGAAAGGTCACATTGTGATCACTTCTCTCGAAATATTTCATCAGATCCAGAAGGATCAGACCAAATTCCACAAGAACTGCTTTCCAATTTGCATGGCGCAGTTTGACCGGTGCGATAAAACGAGAATATTCGAATGAATCATCAATTTCGCCCTAGCTGATAACTCATAACTCCCAACTGGATCAATGTGAATTGATTTTTTGTATACAGGGTGTTTCACAGGTAAAGGGAAATATTTCAATGGTAGATAGGGGTCGCCAAGGTTGTTCTGAAAATTCCATATTTGATAGGTCTTAGAGTCTTCATAACGGAGATACAGGGCGATTTATCGATTTCGAATAATTCTTCATTCGTCTATAAGTATTGAACTACCCAGTATACTTTTCTAAAATTTGGTATGGAGCGTATACTTGGGACGTTGAATTCATCCACCTATCGGGCGAAGTGAAAATCCACATTTATTCGAAATATTAAAATAACACACTGTAAGTTATAATTGTCAGAGTTCATCAAAGGAATCATGAAGAAGAGGAGGAACTGAACTGGATTTGATGCTTCTTGTTTTCCCGCCACCAATTCTCAGCGTAACAATCATAAACAGGAAGCTAAAAGTATGTCAATTTCAAGAGTATCAAAATCATGAAGCCACTTCCAATTATGATTATTTGATATATTCTTGTTAAATGATCATTCGAAAGAACTTACCAAGTCTCACAGTCTCTATAACAGAGATACAGGGTGAATTATCGGTTTCGAATAATTATTCACTCGTCCATAAGTATGGAAATACAGGTTCAGCTTCAGGAAAAGTCTTATAGTCTTTATAACAGAGATACAGGGCGAATTATCGAATTATAATTATTTGGTATTATTTCCATTCCTCCTGATAGGTCAATGAATCCATCGTCTCAAGTAAGTTACATACCAAATTTGAAAAATTGTTACTGGGTAGTTTTATACTTATGGACGAGTGAATAATCATCCAAAACCGATAATTCACCCTGTATCTCCGTTATAAAAACTTAGTAAGTTCTTTAGAGCGATTTTTTGACCAAAATATATCGAATAATCATAATTGACACTGGTTTCATAATTTCAATACTCTTCAAACTGACATACTTTCAACTTTCTGTTTATGATTGTTACGATAAGAGAGAGTTTTTCCTCCTCTTCACGATTGTTTTGATGTACTGTGTTGATTATTAAATACAGTGTGTTATTTTAATATTTCGAATAAATGTAAATTTTTCCTGAGGCCGAACCTGGATTTCCACTCCGCCCGATAGGTGAATGAATTAAACGTCCCAAGTATAAGCCCCTCACCAAATTTAAGAAGAATATACTGGGAAGGTCAATACATATAGACGAATGAATAATTATTCGAAATCAATAAATCGCCCTGTATCCTGTATGTCCGTTATGAAGACTCGAAGACCTATCAAATATGGTATTTTCAGAACCACCTTGGTGACCCCTATCTATCATTGAAATATTCCCCTTTACCTGTGAAACACCCTGTATATCTTTGGATAGAAGTTTACAGTTAAGTATAGGTTAGTTATTTGGAGAAAAGCACATAACTGATTTTTTGATTACTCGAAATGTGACTTCATAATAGAAATGATAGATATATTCTTTTTTTTTTCTTGAAGCACACGAAAGTCGATTCCAGTGATGATGGAAAAACATCGTGCGTACCTAAGGAGGATAAGAAGAGGCAGTAGGTATTGGAATCTCTCTTGAACTTTTGGAGGTTATGAGTTCTGTGGGATACTCCTATTGACGAAGAGTCCCACAGATTCAGAGAATTAGTTATTGAGCATTTTTTATTGAAACATTATATGACATTTCCGCTGATATATATCGGCACCTGTTGAACCCACAAAAAAAAGAGTAACTACAAGAATATGGACATCGTCATAACAGGCATACTGTGTTTCGCCTTTCCGAAGAAAATATTGACTGTAGTCTAGAAGCCGTTGAATTCAACTAGGATGTTGTTTCTCTAGCGCTGACCTGTCATCATCGTTGGATCTCGGTTTCATGGAAAGAAATGGGGATGAGAGAACGCAGTATGAAATATCGTCTGCAAAGCTGTGGATTGGACAAGTGATCGCTCCCAACAGATCACCGATAACAAAAAAATTATGTTACAGCAAGAATTAATCTTTTTGTACTGCTGGAATTGATGAAAATGGTATCAGACAATACTGAGTTCACCACCACATGAAGCAATCTGCCTGCAAGCAAACTCATAGAAAAGAGGCATAGCTGAGGTGATGAGCCATGATGGTAGTTTGTGAAGTAGTCCTTGGTGTCGAGCTCGGTCAAATTCCTTCGATATATCCAACACCTCAGCTGGATATTTCCCATGTTTTTTCATGAAGCTTGCCATATTTCCCCAGTTGATCTTCGGTGGAGAAAGCCATATTGTCTATCATCATTGATTTCTGATATGTCCAGATATTTGAAGAGGTCAATATTGATGACTTTTCTCAGCACTTCGAAGATGTCTCATGACAGTGCAAGTAGCGTACCGTTGTTGCACAGGCTTCTGCTTTGTTTTTCAAGGGTTGGTTGGACTCTACCTATTTTTCAGCAAGATGGAAGATATCGCGACTCATACGAGATGGTGAATAACTTGCAGATAATCAGTGTCAATTATAGTGATTCTGAAACCCAGCAGAATGCGTCTGATAGTGCGTTGACGAAAAAGACTTTCAGGCATCCAACTTTCAACGAGTAGAATGTCAGGCGGTACTTGTCGCTCGGAATCCAAAGTCGAGATTATTCCGAACATATCTACAAAGATGTTCGCTCTCTATCTCATATAATGAGTTTTGGCTTTATTTCATGAATTCGAATTCAAGTATGCCCTATGTGACGTGACGATTATCAAAGATCACTGGTAATCATATAATCCTTAAAATGCTGAACATGACTCAAATTCGGATGCTGTAATATCAATGCCATAGAAGATATCCAGATCCATACGTAGCAGCTGGAACTTCACGAGGGTAAACATTAAAATTTCTGGAGAAAAAGCAATAACTCATCCTTTTCACTTTCGGGAGGTTGGCAAGAACAAATGAAACTCGGCTTACGCGTACTGGCATAACTCATTTGATGAATCAACATCTATAGGCTTTCAAAAATTCCATACCGTAATTCTGCTAGTTGGTATCTATCAGTTCGGATTTACAACAGACAGCACGTAATCTCACTCGATGAGAAACATAGCGTTTTATTTCAATACCACTTCAATTAAGATTCATGAGACTGGGTCATAAATGAACATTTCGATATAATAATATGATGATATAAAAAAGATTAGGAAGAATATCGATCAGAAAATAAACAATCCAAATAATCAAACAAAAATTAGTACCTACCGTGTTTTCTTCTTCAACTATTTTCATCTATATTTTTTGTCCCAACAAACATCCAAAAATCCATCAAGTTATATCTTTATATCAAAAATAGCAAGTCAAACAACTTTTATTCAATCAATTAGAGAATGAATGAATCGATTTTATCTCAATGTCATTCTTCCTTATTCACCTGGCAAGAATATATTCTTGAAATAGTATTACGTAGATCAAAAATCATAGAGGTTGTCTGTGCCAATAACAAAGTATTACAATTATACACAAAAGCATATCTAGCTTTCTTGTTCAACAAAAATGAAGTGTTATTGATGAACCAATAACTACCATGAAGAATATTCTTGTGATTTCAATATCGATCATTTTCAGATGATAATGAATAGATATCCTTCAATGAATGTCATGGAGAGTATACATATTTTCCCAGTATCCGATGTATTTTTATTCAATTCATGACAGATATAATTCAATATTCTGAGGTAACAGCTAGTGGAGTAGTTTTTCGTCAGATATCTAGAGAATTAATAGTTATTGTTCTCTATTGAAATTTTCTCGATCAGATATCTCCTAATATTCGACAGATGAAATTCAATATTATATGGTATCAAACAAGGAAGTATTTGCTTTGTGTTCGATAATTTGAGAATGATTTTATCACTCCCAGAAGAAGCGAAGTCACTTGAAAAATGTTCTTCACATATTCATGGGTCGTTCGTTTCATAGTTCATTGCGGCAAACTGCAAATGTATGGAATCATGAAATAGTCACCTCGAAACTTGAGAAATATCGGTTCCTCCAATTGATGTATGGAAGCTTCATGTCCTCCATCTCCACAAATGCACAATTTCGAGGAAAAACTGTTATGATTGTTTGAGGAATTTTTCATAAGGATCCCTTTTTCAGTCATGAAGTTTCTGATAATCATCTCATTCCATCACCATTATAAATATCCCCGATAACTTGAACGGAATACCTCATAAAGAGTAATGACCAAATTGGTGTTTCAAGTTGAAATGAATGTGATAATCAATCAATTGTTCATGATTCCTAAAATTGAATACGTATATCATATATGGCGTCATAAAACATTTAAACTTCTAGGTTTCCTCTCAACGGAAGACGGCATTGTACCTGGAAATATGGGTTTGAAAGACCAGCATCTAGCTTTGCAATGGACGCAGAAGAATATTGAATTATTTGGAGGCAACCCAAACGATATAGTTATTGGTGGTGAGAGTGCAGGTGCATTTTCTGTTAGTTATCAGCTACTCAATTCGAGAAATAAAGGTGAGTACAGTGAGAAAAGTTGATAATCATATCGATTCAATCTCTTCACTTCGGAAGAAAATATCCGAAACAATAATATGTTCCTTCATGAATGTGCAATCTTCAGTATCCCAACAGGAGAAAATGAAGTGAAAGTCGGTCGACCACAATATTTATTATAAAAATAATCAGTGTGTGACTATAGTTTCGGCTCTACGGCCATCTTCAGACACAATGAGAAAGTACCTAGAATGTTACAAGTAGTACAGATATAAAACAAAATGGTAGCTGAGAAAAAATTGACATACCTCTTATGTAGACAACATCTCAACAATAAAAATAATTATCGGGTCGTTATAACCAAGGATCAATCCAGCCCCACACTCAAGAAAACTTGTAACGGCTGGGAAAAATGAAAAATTCAATTTTTGGAATTCTACTCAATTGAACTTCATCTAACTGCAATCAAACCATTGAAAGAAAGAGAGCTATCTCAATATCTCGTCATCCATCCACTTACGGTTGGCACTATCGTAGGCACGATGAACCAACCGGACTACATCCACTTCGATTTTTTGGTAGCTCTCGTCGGTTCTTTGTCGACGGTTATGTATTTGAGATTCAAAAAATGAAAGCAGATGTTCGTGACCATAACTGGTTTTCTGTCGTTTGATGATATGATAATTTCTTGCGAGCAAACTTATATTGATGACAGTTCCTGAAACCAGAAGAGGAACAATCTTGTCTTAGAAATATCGTCACCAGCATAGCAAATACTTGCTCGCAATATATGAAATAAAATTATGGATATTTTTCCGATATACAGTGTGCGCGATTTCAACCCGCAATACCCTTCTAATTTGGGATCCGTCGACCGATTTACAAGAACAAAAATTTCATAATATAGTACTCAACGAGCTCTATTTGAGAAGGTGAACAAATTTTGAATATTCAGATTTTCATGGCCTACTTTTGTTTGTTGAAGGGGTCATAATTTCAAAGACGACTATTAGTCAAATTTTGATCTAAACTGTGACAAGCCTATTCGATTTATAGACAGCTGATATAACTTCATACGCAATTCTAACGCAAAATCTCATATAGGGTGTTAGTTATACATTGGCAAATTTTGATATTTCTGATTTTTCGATTCACCCTGTATCAAAATCTGAAGAGTTGATATAACCGGTGAAGTAGTCATTCAATGAAGGAACACATGGAATACCAAAATACGAAGTTTTATCGTTGAAATTTCTACAGGAAGATCTCTCTTGGTGAACCAAAAATTAATAGAATTGAAGTTGAAATTTTTTTTATGATCTATATCTTTTTTTTCTGGAAATATAGATAATGGTAACTCATTCGAAGAAATATTCTCTGAACATAACAATTTCCATTGTCAACTCAAATTTTCTTTTCATTTCGCCAAAATCGGTATATTTTTATTGATCACATTAAATATCAGTAAATATCCTTGCAGTTTTTGGAATGTTTGTCTGTCATTCTATTTGTTTTATATTCAACAGTTATTTATCAATCTAGACGATTTTCAAAGTTACTGTGTGGTGAAGTATGTGAAAAACGGTTTACTCGAGTTTTCAAAATGGTGAACCTCAATTAATTTTATCAATTTTTGATTGAACTAGAAAGATCATGAAAATCATCCATTTTCTCAAAGTGGTCCACAGTATTGCCATGATGGCATGATTGTTACTTATCCAGTGATGTTTGTTTAAATTGTATTGTTCGGTACTTATTATTTGTCTGATGATGGCCGTAGCGCCGAAACCGGTTACATATGTAAAATGTTAGTTACTACTATTATATGAAGTGTGGTCGACCGACTTTGAGCCCCTAGTTTTTTTCTTCTTGAACTAGAAAGATCTCCCTGTAGAAGTTACAACGATGACACTTCGTATCCGAAAATTCAATGTGTTTCTCCATTGAAATAATACTCCACCAGTTATATCAATTCCTTAGATCTCGATACAGGGTGAATCAGAAAATCAAAAATATCAAAATTTGCCATTGAATAACTAACACCCTATATGAGATTTTGCGATCAAATTTGGTATGTGGGTATTCAAGTTATGCCTGAATCGAATGGGCTAGTCACTGTTTTGACGAAAAATTGCCTAATAATCGTTTTCAAAATTATTACCCATTGAACAATCAGAAGTAGGCCATGAAAATCTGAATATTCCAGATTTGTCCAAATTGTTGAATAGAGCTAGTTGAGTACTGTATTATGAAAATTTCGTTTTTGAAAATCCGTCGACGGTTTCATTAGGAGGGTGTTGCGGGTTGAAATCGCACACACTGTATATGTGTAATAGGACGAATCAGATGATTTGTTTGACGTTTAACAAATTCAGCGAGCCTGGAAGAAAAAATCCAATTTGAAGGAAAGTAACTCAGATATCTTGAAGAGATATCAAATTCTCACTGATCTTTTGACGTTTCGAAAACAAATATGCTCCTGATCCCAACATAGAAATGCAATCATATTTTTCTTCGAAAGTTTTGTTCTCATCCCTAATAGCAAACAACGTCCTAGGGACGTCCCTATTTGGTTCAATACACGTCCGAATGTCCCGAACCAAAAATAAGTGTCCTTGGGACGTCCCATCCCGTACATCTCATGCAATGTCCGAGCAAGGACGTCCACGGAATGTCCCAGCTGGTACATCATTTCAAATGTCCTAGAAATAGCATCCCTTAGACGTCCCACGTGTTACATATTGTAGAATGTCCATGCAAGGACATCCTTGGCATGTCCCTGATGGGATATGATCTTGAACGTTCCTTCAGGGACATCCATCGGATGTCCCGAGTAGTACATATTCTGGCATGACTTCAGATCTTATATAATGTCCCTTCTAGACAACCTTGAAATGTCCCTGATGGTACATTCCTTCAAATATCTCTGCACAGACGCTCTTAATATTTCCAGGATCGTATAACAATCGAAATGTCCCTTAGGGACATCCTTCGGATGTCCCAATTGGTACATGAACTGTACTCTTCCAATGTCCTAGAAATAACGTCCTATGGACTTCCCAGTCGGTACTTTCAATTTTTTGTCCCTGCGAGGACGTAAACTTACACCTCGCCGACGAATGATTGCTCGTAGGCTATAAGTACTCCTCGTCAATGTCCTGCACGTGAGTCTATTGGACATCCTTGGGAAATTTTTTGGGGACCTTTCACGGACCATCAACTTAACTGGATGTCCTAATCAGTTATGCAAGATCTGGTCCTAAAGGAACCCAGTAAAATTCAAATTCAAGAATAATTCGTACGTCCCTGGGACATCCTATGGACATCCAATTGATATCCCTCAGCGTTGCTGATAGGTTGTTCTATGGATGTCCTAAGGATGTCCTCTGTAGTGCTTGATGAGGAATACTGTAGGATTTAGGTATTCGATAGTCGTCCCAGAGACATCCCTCAAGGACGTCCCTAGTTGGTTCTCAAGTGGGACAATTGTGCGTCCCACAGACGTCCAATGGACGTCCACGGTACCAAATTCGAACGTCCTATGGACGTCCTGAATGTCCCGACAGGACGTCCTAAGGATATCCATGGGACATGAGTGTGTTATTAGGGATAGTTTGACACTTTTCAGTAACATACAAATGTTGGCATATTGATAAGTGATTGTTGTTGTTATGTTTTTTGTTTTCATCCATGCAGAATAAACAAATAAGGGTGTTTCATTGGGAAAGGTGAATAATTCAACTGTAAGGGATCACTGAGGTGATTCCAAAGAACCCATGGTTGATGGGTCTTCGACTTCTTGTACCCGAGATACAGGATGTTTCATCAATGTTGTCCATATCTTCATTGTCTCATAACTTTTCAACCAACCTGTATATATTTCTAACAATTGGAGCACTTGCTCAATCCACCCTGTGGAATTTATTGAGGTAACAACAAATGATAAAATCCAGGTCCGGCTTCACTCAAAATTCACAAATTCTTTCTGCCAGAAAACAACACTCTATACATTCGAATTTCTCATTTTTTTGCCATATCTGAAAAGAACATCAACATTTCTATTCAACGATGTGCTTTTCATTCGTGCACAGACGATTTTAACTATTCATATTATGTGCTCAAAATATTATTTTTGCTCATTTTGGAAACAGACGAGATTCATTAATTTATTATTTCCTATTCAGTATACGTGCGTATTACATTTAGAAGGAGTATTTCATATCGTTCTTTGTTCCAGACTTAGTTGCAGGTCCGTCATCACAACTATACAGGGCTTTTCACGATATGCGTTAATAAGATGTTTCTGGCAAACCAGGCAACGGATAAATCTAAAAATTCGAAGGTATGTATAAATTAACATGATCTACACGTCTGAAATATTTGAAACAATTCGGCGTTGCCGCTTCTACTCTAAAGTAGCAGTAACTTTGATTTTTCAAATGGGACACCCTGGATGCTTCCTGAAGAGCTGATTTAATCGATTCACAAAGTTCGGGGTTCAGTAGGACTAATAACTGAGATATTTAGAGTGAGAAAATCGAGATGTTTCAACTTTAAAATTATTTTGCGAAAATATTTATCATTGACCAAAACGGCTTTTATGTCCCTATCTTAACTTTGTATCTATTGACATTTAATCGAAACATATACAGGATGGTTTATGATTAAGATTTCTGCACCACCCTGTATCTGTTTCAATTGAATATCGAATGGTAAGTTGAGATAGGGACATTGAAGCCGTTTTGACCATGCAATAAAAAATAGTTTCAACACAAAACATTTCTAAAGTTGAAACATCTCGATTTTCCACATCCTATATCTCAGTTATCAGTCCCGCTAGACCTTGAATGTTTTGAATCGATGAATTCTGCTGTTCAGCAAGGATCCAAGAATGTAATGAAATACAGGGTGTCCCATTTGAAAAATCGAAGTTGCTGCTACTTTCTAGTAGAAGCGGCAAGGCCGGATCGTTTCAAATATTCCAGTAGTGTAGATTATGTTGATTTATACATTCCATCGAA